TTCTTCAGCCACTAACAAACTTCTTTCTATTACTTTCACATGGTACCTCGGTCTCTAACGGACTTGGCTATATTACTTTGACAAGGTATCTCGGCATCTAAGTGACTTGGCTGTTTTAATATTTTGACAAGGTACATCAGCCACCGCCGGACTATGTTGTTTTACTTTTACTAGATACCTAGGCCACCAATGGCTTTTACATTTACAAAGAAGAGGGTGCGTACCTCGACCACTAAGGGACTTGGCTTAAATACTCTGTCATGGTAATTTTGTCACATGTGGACTTGTCTGCACTACTATTGGGCACTCACGGACTTAGTACAAGTATAAACACTATGAATATGATATGTATATGAATCGATTTTAATTACAATTGACGGCATTGGGAATTTTATTAGATATATTTTTTTTCAAATTGGTCATAATGACTATGTCGAAATAAATTAGGTTTGTGTACTGATTTTCAATTCTGGTCAATGGTATATCAATTGTTACTAGACATTTCAACAAAACTAAGCATACACATTCATAAGCACCTTAAAATGTTTAAGGTTAACAATTTTATCAAGTTTATAATAACAATCTGATGTTCCGAATTTAAATCGAAAAAGTTTATTTCCCTCTTCCTACAGCTGTCGCGGTATTTAAGATCCTATCTCTGAACTCACTTTATAGTACATCATAATACGAATAAAATAATTAATTCAGTGTGATTGGTGGACCCATTCACCAATCATTGACTTTTCTCCTCGGCATTTTTTTTAATATATCAGATTAAATTATCAAAATGACTCTAAGTTCAGGTCCATGTTGTCTTTTTGGCATATTTTCTGTTTTAAAAGACTACTCTGATCTTTATTAATAAATAGAAAATATGTCAGAAAGACAATATATAATTTGTAAGAATTGTACGGAAATGAAGCTCATTCATAGATTTTTCTAAGAAAGATAAGCAATGTTATATTCAAATTATAGGAAAACTCACGATGGTTTATATTTGAGACTATGAGGATTTAATCTCTTAAAAAAATTTACCACTTAATAAATGATAGCTATGTCAAAACAAGACAACGTTCGACGTCTTTCCGGAGAACAAAACCTCATTAAACTTATGAGAGTCTGACTGAAGGACAAATTAAAGTTTGTTTAAAACTTTGGATTCATATAAGACTGCTTTTTGTGGATATAAATGGGTACTTTGTAACAATTTACAAGTATTTACCTTTTTCCTTTCATATTTTCCTTACAGTTGTGCTTGAATTTATGACAACACTTGATTTTATAAATTTCTGAAGTGTTCACTTCAGTATGTCAATGCCTACATTATAATCCTTATCTAGGACCGTTTAGAAAATGAATTGAAAGCCAAACAGGTTTAAAAATTTTACTTGTACTATAGACAGAAATTGAATTTTATGGTCATCTTTCGACAATTTTAATGATGTCTATAAAATATGACAAAGACTTGACACGCCCTTGTGAATTGTTGACCTTTGAGAACGACCCTCTTCATCCAGACGGCGCTGACTGCCATTGTCTTTGGCTGGTTCCCCTTGTCTAGTGACGTCCTGGTAGAGCGGATTTGAAATTTGATTTACAGCAATAGTGTTTATGTACTACACTTTACTAACAGTTGGTAAATAAATATAGACACTATGATTTTGAAAGAGTTTGACAAGGGCCATCGTCTTTTATACTGCTTTTTATACCTCTTCAATACGTTTTATGAATTTTATACCATTACAAACATTAAAATCATTGTAGTCATAAAGTTTTCAGGCCTATCTTTTTTTTTAAGAAAAGGAGTAATAAATAATTTCTTGAATATTGAAAATATGATTTGTTAATCGGAACTCCTTGCAGAAAAGCTTAAATAATGATATGTAAGCGTTGTTCTAGTAACAGTAAATTAAATCACCTAGAACTCCTTGCAGAAAAGCTTAAATAATGATATGTAGGCGTTGTTCTAGTAACAGTAAATTAAATCACCTAGTATCGCAAAGTCATCAGAAAACAAGGGAAACTAATCTAGAACGGGAAAACTAATTTCGTCTTTAAGAAAAAAATGTAGTAAATAATTTATGGAGTTTTAAAACCACATACAGTGTAATGGCTATTTATAATCAGTAAGGAATACAGCTATATGTTTCGTTGGACAATCATAATCTTTCTTCCTCATGAAGACAGAACCTTCGTATTTGTCGACAAAAGCCGAGGGTGCAATGTTCATGCATGAACCCAAGCAGGACGGAAATCTAAAAACGACAAGATCTGTGTGGAAAAAGTTTGACGCTCTGTCGCATCCTAGTTCGGGATATCTGATGTTTTCTAGCAAATTTCATTGCAAGAAAAGCGTCAATTATGCCATTTATTGTGAAAGATTACAGATTTCCTTTAACTGAATTAGAAAAATTCAGAAGCAATATCAATACATATGAACAAATTGTTTAATCTTTTACCAAATTCAATATTTTTACTTTCAAATACAAAAATTTTCTTATTCAGTACTATGTTTCTATTCTGTTTAATGAGAGAGACCTCTCTCTCTCTCTCTCTCTCTCTCTCTCTCTCTCTCTCTCTCTCTCTGCTTTTATAAATATTTGTATTTCTATTGGTTGGCTTTCCCTCTCACCATACATTGTAAGTTAAAGTATAGAAATGAGGAAGCCCTAGGTTCAAGCACTGTGACCTCACTGTAAAGGAATCCAATAATTATATTGCTTGTCTCATTGATTTCGTTAAATTTAAGGGAGAACCTAAGCTATATACTTTTCCTCGAACTTAACCTAATGCGAAAATAAGAATGATTTATCAGACTATATTTTATCTCTGATCTACGAAAATAGTAAGAATCTTAGGTCCATTAGTAGCAATCTATGCTTTGTAAACGACAAAAAGGTAAGACATGAATTTATTGTTAAGCATATTTTAAAGAAAATTGATCTACAATAAAACAATAAATCACGATAGTGAACAAAGAACTTAATTTATTCTCGATTATCCGGAATCTCCATATAAAAGGTATACTAATCGACATTCCGCTATTATCAGATTAAGAGAATCAAACCCCTAAAAAGGGGGAATGCTGTCATTTAATTCTAGAGATGCTGAAAATAAATTAAAGTGAATGGTTTTACAGATAAGGTTGTGCAGGAGAAAATTGTAAAACGATGACAACAGTGTCGCCGATATAACTGTCCGCGGAGGCTCACGAGACGGCGGCCATATTGACATTAGTACACTAGATGGCGTTGCTTGTTTACGCATTGTCTATTGGGCCGTCAGCGATAACGACTAGGGGATGTAAAATACCGGTAGTTTTTGTTTACTAACATTTAGTATTGGTTTGTAAAACGACGGATAATGAAGGTAGTTCGTTATAAATTGTCCTGGAGTACTGAATGAGGTGACTTTATCTTCGTAACTGACGCACGCCTAGCTGTACTTCACCATCTCGGAATGTCAAGCGTCCTTGTGCAGCCTTCAAGACATTGGCTTCTAGATGGTTTCAAACGATGAAAGGTTAAATAACCTCAATCATAAGTAAATCTGAGCAGGTTACAAAGCATTTACAGAACACGTGTCATTGATATTGTAATCAACAGATTTAAGAGGAAAAATATTGAAATATTGAAATCAGTTTGAATGCCAACAAGGTATTTTGTTGGAAAAAAAAAGAACGTTTAACTTCAAATTTAACTTCATCGTATTCAAGCAATATTTAAAGTTTTGCCGTCAAAATAAAAAACCTTTTCTTAGAGAAAGACTAGTAAAAATACTGATTTTTCTATATCGTAAAGTAATATAATTTTAGAATTACAGAACAATCATCATAAAGACATGTGTATGAGGCAATAACACGAATACGTCGATAAGAACCCCCAATTAAAATATCAGACATTCTACTTCCGGTCGATACTTCTCGGCGAGAAATGGTCATTCAAGTTACAGCGTTTCTCCTCATGTGAAGCTCCTCTTGTGTGTTTCCTAGATTTCGGATGTTTGGATCACACTTGTATGTATTCAAACGGCAATATTGCTCTCTTAAATGACGATTACGTGCAGAAAAGTAAATATACATACACGATAATCTGAATGCTATTGCCATATTATAAATTTAATGGTTGTGCTTGTGGTTTATTATAGAATTTTGAAGCTTGTACGAGCGATGGCACATAATATCAAAGGCATAGAGAAGAAAACAATTTTTATTGACTTCAGATCACATATATTATCGACACGATACCCATACAAAATAAATGAAAAAACTTTTTCACGACATCTGAGCAATTCGAATTTAACAAAATCAAATTTAATATCTTTAGGCATTTGGGACTCGGTTGCACTTTTAGACCTGTGTGATACATATTAAAACTGATTTCGCAACATGTAATTTAGCATTGTATAAGATGATATTACTTATACATTAAGTATCGTATTTACAATAGCCCAGTCAACAGCTTCCTAAAAACTTCATCAATGTCACATTAAGATGTGTCATAAACCCTCAATGCTGCTTATCCCATTTTTTCCGTCTTCAGACAATTACCATTAAGTTTTCTAACTCTAGTTTTATCATAATAGTCACATGCCATCATTCACATAAGATTTCAGCCACTCTTGGCTACTTTAGTCCGTCATTTGGAATCACTTACAGTAGGACATGGAAATCGGTCCGTTTAAGAGCCTTCCCTGTTTGTTTTTCGCTTCACTTTCCTGATACATCACGAAATATTGAGAAAAATACTCCACAATTAGTATGTTCTATATGTCATATAATACAATGGTCTATTCAAAAATACATGCATGTTGTTAATACTGAAAGAGTCTTCCGCCTTCTGGCGTTTTTATCTGTTTGCAGATTGATGACTCCCTAATTCTTAACGTTTTCAAATACTTATAAGATTTTTTATTGATATTATTTTCTGAAAAGTTTTTAAAAAACAAACAAAAAAGCCACACACAAAAAAGGGAAAAATGAAACAAAACTTCTTCCAAAATATATTTCTTTTGAGTTTTATTTCAATTCACAAATGTATATATGAAATAGCAATATTCCACAGTTCTACATCTTATTTTGCTCATTTATTGCATAGTTTGATGTAGTTATGGAACAGAGGAAGACCAGAAGTGACAATAAATACAAAATCTACCAAATTGCACCATTCGTATCGCCACTCATGCAGTCATATATGGTCATATCAAAATTCTCAATTCACTTCGCTTCAAACATTTGAAACTTAACAATGTGTACAAGGAGAGAACCCTGAACTGCGCATGCTTTTAAGGAACTCTTCTGTGTCTGTTAATATTTGAAAACTCACAGCAGGCAGAATTCACGAGAGTGTTCGTTGATGGCTTTTATGATTTGTGCCCGACACCATTGCACCTCTATTCTGAATTGCTGTTCACACTTTCTACATGTATCGCTATTTTTCCGTGGTTTCACTTTCTACATCAATTTCATCGTCACTGTCCTCCATATCAAAATCTTCCTCGTCTGAAGTACACCTGTTTCTTTCCTCTGAATCGTCTGCTACGTCACTTCCGCTCTTTTCTGCTGAAGTTTCACTTTGTTTCTCGCAAGTGGGTGACTCCTATAGGGAAAAATGAATTATTGAATAACAAAATTTCCATTTTGAAAAGATAACTTGTTGATGTCCTCACTACAGGTTATATACATGTATGTACAGGTTATATACATGCATGTACAGGTTATATACATGTATGTACATTAACTAAGAATGACTTACCTGTTTCAGTCTTCTCCATTTAGCACGTCTGTTTTGGAACCACGTTTTTACCTGAAATGAGCATACAAAAGGAATCTTACAGAAGTAGCAAATAGAATTGTTTAATTTGCAGGTATTATTATTTCGGTTACCTGATTATATAGATTAAGTTTCTTCCTGCAGTGGTTTTTGTTTGTGATTTCTAATATTATGATAGATTCAAAAGTAAGTCTTTCTTCTTCAAATGTTTTAAAATATTTCACGTCCTGTAAGTGATAAACACCTCAAATTTTCTTATCACTGAACTTTCTAACATTGTATATTTTATTCATTAATTTGTTCGCTAGCTTGATACAGGAAAAATGTCCATCGATTAAACGAAATGTATTACCCGAATTATCTTTTATAAATCTTAATTTAACTACAAGTTAAACAAAACTTTTTTCAATAACGTTAGAGTGTCTTTGTTTGTTGACGTTGAAATGTCAGGTCTTTTTATCTTGAATTGGTGCAATTCAAAAGTGTCACCCAATCATATGACTATGCTACAAGTCAATTAAAGACGCACAAAACAGCTCTACCAAGGGAGTCTCTCAATGTACGACATTTCGCGTGTACTTGCGAGATTTCACAGACGATGAAGTTCTACAGAGAGTGATTGAGGGGGTTATTTTGAAAAACAAGTCAATAATGTCATGTTTGTTTAAAATTTCATTATCGAAAGTAAAAGTACTTGGTAAAATATTGTCAATTATAATACACAACAAGAGACACATAATTCAGGCTATGGCGCAAATTAAAAAAGCGATTGAACTTTGACGATATAAAGGGCGTTTTAAATTTCATATATTGCTGTTAATTTTTGCTTTTTTAGGATAAAATTGTTTCTATGTGGATAGGTTTTGAACCTTTTATTTTGTTGAAAATCAATATGTGTATGTGGTGAGAAAAATAAGCATTGAATTCGAAATGTATGGTGTTTTGCTATGTAGGATTTTATTATTTACGAAGTTTACAAATATCTAATATCATTCTGAAACATTTGTCATAAGCCAGTGTCAAGAAATTCTAATGTTAAATGTGGAATAAGAATCTTTAAATAAGAGAATTTAAAAAAAAGATTTTTTATAAGCCTTTTTAATTAAGTTCATTTCTTATAATTTTTACGCATTTTTTTTAAATACTATTGCTTTGTATATTTATTATATTTTATTAAAATAATTCAAAGTTGTGAATTATACAAATTTAATTACGTATTTCATAAGAAAAAAATATAAAATTTGAATTTGGTATAAATGACGTTATATTTTTACCTGCCGTTCTGTTAGTTGAAGGCTTTTGGCCAGTCTTTTTCTTTCAGGCGGAGACAGGTACTTGTGGGATTCAAATTTCTTTTCTAGTTCGACTGTCTGATCGTTAGAAAACCTCACTTGTCCGCCCTTCCTTTTATGTAGAGGTCGCTGCATAAAATGGTTCCACAAGAAAGGTTTGGGCATTACTGAATAATAAAAAAATTATATATGACTTTATAGCTTTTATACTATAGATGTCTCATTGCATGAATCTCAATAGCTACAAATATCTTTAAATGGAAAATAGTATATTTACATGTACATGTACATATACATTGTATAAATATATATATATGTTTAAACATACATGTAAAATTCAACACGAAGAAAAACAAAACCAGCCCTCCCTTTCACCACCCCCACCCCTCAAAAAGGAAAAATAATAAAATGAACATGCAAAAGACAAAGCATAATATATAGTTTTCTTTTTCAGTTTTGGAATACTGCATTACTTCTGGTGAAAAAATCTCTATCGGTAAAATTTTTCCCATTTTATTTTTTTAAGAAAGTACCCACATATCTATTAAGCGAAACAGTTGAAGACAAATTTCACGAAAAAAAAATATAATTGCCATGTTATTTAAAAATCATTTGGTAATAAGTAACTATTTTCACTTTTATAATGTGAAGTTTTCAAACACACGAAGCTTATGAATGATGAAACTATAAAAGGATAATTTAATTCAATTTGTAGTGGATAAATTAGTACTTTGTTCCAAACTTGAGTGTAGAGCATATGATATTATTAATTCAGACAATGCGTGATATTTCTCTTAGTTCGTGGTCACGTGTGCTGTCACGTGGGACTTAACACTTAGACGCCTGCGCATGATGCTGCATAAGCCTGGTTTACCAGAGACATGGATTGAAAGAAGCTTACTCATGTTGAGGGGATACATAATTGACTTAGTGCTCGAGTATACATGATGCATGTGCAAGCCAGCTCTAGACCTATAGAGGGGGAATAAAATGTGGAAGACTTGAAAAAAAACGCGTAAAGTTTACTCGACAGCTTAAATTTATACACTTTGTACTGTCAGAGACCCCAAAAAATTATCGTTCTTCTATATATTCCTACTGATATCTGCAACTTTCATTGGTAAATTACAATAACTCTTTTCATGCAACAAACTTAACACTCAATTTGAAAAAAAGGCAATCGGGTTTTGTAAATGGAGTGATTTTTTTAACAGTTAATTTTTGAAAATGTTTATGGTTTGAAACAAAACCTGTCTGCACTGAATGAAAGCACTGAAAGCGTTACTGTTGTGTGAAGCTCGCGCGACTTCCAGACTATGCCGTGCAGCGACTACGAAACTCTGAATTGTCGAGCCATTCATGTCACACGAGTCTTCAACAGGCTATTATACATTCTTATTCAGAAAACAATAACAGTCCTTCAGAAGGCGACAAAGGGGTTAATTAAAGAAAAACCTCAAGTAGTATCCGCGCAAGTTCTTCCGATTGCTGGGTTTTCGGAAGGCTGACAATGGGGCCATGAGGGGTGCTCAAAGTTCCTCTATCCTGCCACAAGCTCATTTATTTTGGAATATGCTTCCGTCACGATAAAACCACGAAATAAGACATACAATTGTTTGTATAATTATTAAAATGGACACACGACACCACGGCCCTTGCACAGGAAACACGTGTCGCAGCGATTGTCGATTCTTTCTCTTTAATGTGAAGAGTCTACTTACTTTCCCGCCATCTAAATACCGGAAGCAGTATAAGTTAGACAACTGCAACAAGTTCAAGTTAAATTACTGTAATTGCCACATGTGGGACAATTGATAGCAGAAACTAACAAGAAAGTTATGAAAAACAATGGCACTTCAGCTACGAGATCTCGTCTTAGATAAGCGAACCAGTTTTTGAAATCGCCCATGTACAGTTTGTGAAAAGATTTGCTCTGCAAAGTAAAAAGTCCTGATAAGGCTCTTCAAGTTGTTTATCTGTAATTACCATATACTAAGAATAAACAAAAGCTTTTCTTCCATTCTTGAATTAACACGATTAGTGCATTGATCCCATTGTTTAGAGCAAGATCAAAGTGAATTAAACTCGATAGATCAGTCCTTCGCCTTAACACACCTTACATAAACGTTGTCTTGTCTCAACACTAAACAAGGCTATTGTTCATTCCGTAAACGACCATTATAACTCGCTTGTAGCAGATAACGAACAAAACTACAAAGAGAAGTAATCGGAAATGTCCGCAATCTTGTTTACGGAAATACCTCTGCCATTGATACCCCAGTTTACACTATTGCCAGTTATCGAGCACTGGTCTATTTAGTCATTCAGACCTTTGTTTACACCCTTGGAGTACCGCGTCTCTGTTGTACCTCTCGTCAGAGAGAAGAGGACTCAGTCTCCGGACAGATGAGGGTTTACAAGATTACGGTTGGATCAGCCGGACGCCGCGGAGGGATTACTCCGGACATCGGACATCGAGCCCGATTGCAAATACCATTGTTACCTAGAAGGTTCCATAGCAAATTGTAAATAATGACACTGTTTAGAAATTAAGTAGTTTTTAATATGGATTTGTTGCTATTCCTTTGTCGATTGAAAACATTTCTCGTACCCATATTGTTTAGTTCAAATTTTTTACCAATTTTTTTTATGTCATTAGTAGACTTTCCCTAGCGATTCAGTAGTTCTTGAACTGAAAAATATTTTATTGATCAAAGTAAGAACGACCTAAATGGTAAGAAAAATTAAAAATATAGTGAAATAACAACATAAATGGTAAGAATGGTAAGTATATATAATTAATAACATTTTTATTTCCCTCTTTGATGTTGATAAGACTAAATGTCTTGTAGTCATACAGAGTATGAAAAAAAACTTAAGGATATCTGCTCCTTAGCCAGGAATAGTAACTCTTTAAATTACTATTTAATTTATTTAGTCTCGAAATGAAGTTTGAAATTGAAATCTTTTTCTGCAACAATTTTCATTACATGCATGAAAATAAGATTCAAGGTTTTGAAGTCTTGGAATGGGTCTTGTAAAAAGTTTGACATTTTAACCTTATAAAAGTACAAAAAATAAAAACAGCTTTAGAGAAATTAAATTTTCTTGAATCTAGCCTTAGATACCAATGCTTTTTACCATGATATGAAATAAGAAGTAATATGTTATGTCTAGCATTATAGCACAAGCTTTTCACACTTCGTATTATGTAATACATGTAAGTGATGTAAATGGTAAAATTAAAATATATACCGAATAAAAAATTAAAAAAGGAACATGCAATTTTCTTCGAATGCCTGGATACCTGTAGCTTTTTATCCTTATAAATATATTTGCTGCTCAATTTTCAATTAGAAAAGCATAGCTGCTGCTTTTATTTGCGTTTCCTGAAAATATATTTGAGAGTTGTTAATTTTTCCTATATAATATGATTAACTATGGTGATTAAATTTGAAGAAATACCATTGGTAAATACACATTACTTTGTGGATTCAGAAGCATTTTTGTGAGCCATTTCAATTACTTAACCGCTGATTTTAGGAACCTGAGGATCGGACTACCTTAAGTGTTCGCAAAGAATATTGTTTCCATGTTGAAGCGAATAAATAAAAAAAAATGATTTTATGATTAAAAAAAATTACAATATATTTTATCGTTTGACAGGAAGCTGCCTAATCGTGACTGTAATCAGAATGATGATTGGATCGCAGGAACAGCTTTTTGCCTTTGATTCGTCAATTTACAGATTACTTTTAAACCATGCTTCCATAGCCAAGTGTCTTTTCCGATCCTTGAAATATTATCTAAATATACAGAACCGGTCTTTCTTTGGTTCACCACATCAAGAGGCGGAAATACATCAAATCCGATGATATTTAGAAAAATCTCAGAAATATGTGTGCATACAGCAAAATAATTGTAGAACAAAAAAATCCAGATCGATAAGATTACAGAAATTGTACAAATAGAATTTCATTAAGGATTAAAAATAGTAGTTCAAATAATTAAAAATAGATGAAAATGTTTAGGAATTTCTGTTCCTCCGGTACTAGAGGACATCTTATTTAGTGTTATTTACTCACCAAAAGAAAAAAAAATAGCATGTGAACAATATAGTCCCATAATAAATAAAAAGAAATTTATATACTAAAAAGAATGCAATTTTAATGGTGCTATAACTGAGTTTGCGGCAGGGTAGCACTAACTTTTTTTTTTTGGTTATCATCTTCGCTAGCCATAGCGAAGATGTTTGGTTATATGATCACCAGCCTTAAAATGTCCACAGAATAATGTATTTGAAATTAACTTTTAAGCATCATGTAGAACAGTCCACGGCACAATCCTTTATGTGGGTTTTATTATTTAAATAATGCTACGGGTCATAGTAAATACACATATCAAAAATGTACAGGGGGAAAATCGCTCCTTTTAATTTAGCTTTGTCTTTGTTTGAACAATTTTTTTCATAAATGTCAAGCTTCTTTCAATTACGAAGAATACGATCTCTTATTTACAATTCACACAAGATTTTCTACTTTCAAATTCCGTAAGTTCGAAAAATATGTCTCGCGATTTTATTTGAAACAAAAATGGCGCACTTTGATTTAAAACAATAGTATGGTTAAAATAAACAAAAACAGGCTTAAGGGTTGTGTTTGGACAGCCAACTGAGTCTTGAAATCAAACCTTTATTGTTCTATCTCATCTTGATCGATTAAATCTATTGAAAGAGAAAACACTCGACATTTTTCTCTCCTAAGACATCGACTGATTTGGATTATATTTGAATTATGCCAAGCGTCTTGGCGATTTTATGGGTCATATGAATTTGGATATGAACAAACGTTGCAAAGATTGTCTTGGGTCACACGCATGGCAGGAAAAAAAGAATATTAAAGATGTGAATTGTATTTCTAATGCGAGAAAAATGAGAAAAATTCGTTTGTATTTCGATCATCCAGTTCCACCTTGACTGGGAGTGAATGAATATATTAGAAAATATTTAAGTTGGCCGAATGAATAATGGACTTAAAAACTACATATTCCAAACAAAAAGTTAAAGCGATTTGATAATAAGAATAAAAGTTCACTTAATAATGCAACAAAGTATAATTAAATACAATGGTTTGATAATGAGTCGGCAGCAAATAAATTTTCTCATTTAAGTTTTCTAATACGTACATCGACATATTTTTTTCTTTTCTTTTTTTTAATAAATAAATTCTTTTGAGAAAATTTGAATCTAATTATGAATATTACTGATAAGAAAAATAAAATATAACAAACTCTGAAAACATTTTATTAATTTCTTTCAAAAATACAAAAGCGAAAGATGCGCGAATGTAAGTTATAAAATTATTGGAATACCAAATAGAAATACAAGTTTAATTATAATTATATGCACGAGAAATCACTGAGAATTCAGGAAAAAACGGAATCGACAAACTCAGCAGATGTTTTTGGAATTACAAACGACGTATTTACAAACATAAGAGCGATAATATTTAGAGACTCTGAAGACTCTTATGTGGGATATTCTCGTTAGTGATCAAACATATAATACAGTATTTATATATTTCAAAGATCATTATACTTCAAACAGAGGTTGTCATATTCATAAGCGTCAAATGAATGAAGTATTAAGTAAGTTTGTTTGCTCTATTGGGTGTTTCTACCAATATTTAATAGGATATCGAAAAAAAGACCGTATGATCGCCATCTTATTTTAAATCGATTAGCGAGATATTCTTATCTTCTAATCGTCTTAGCACCCTTAAATGAATGTAGCAGATTAACTAACGGGTATCATGTTAACCATATTAATGTCATCTCATGACTTTCACTCCTTTTTGGTCTACAGGGAGTATTCATTATTCCATTAATAAGCTGCCACTTTATCATGTTAAGAAAAATATAATCAGAGAACAGGGCGGTTTTTCTATTCCTCTTCAATTTCAATTCAGGGTTTTTTTTTTTTTTGTTTTTTTTTTTTTTAATTTCATTCATTTTTTTTAATTTCTTGTTATATATTCATAGTTTCTGTTTCATTTTTATTTTGTTGATTGAATTGGAAATTTTAAAACAATTTCTTAAACTTTTCTTGCTGAAACATTCTGTATAGTCGATATGATTTCGGGCACTAGAAACTAATTATAAATGAAAAGGTTTACAAGGAAAACCCTTAAAATTTGGCAGACAAGTCGTTTATGACAATCGAAATAGTAATTGTCAGTAATTATTTCCCTACTTGATGACTTCTGGGCACTTGATCATAAAAGGTTCTGATTTTGCGCTCTTCGACAAGAACAAGAAAAGGTTTTTGGTTATATTTGAGCGACTTCCTTCTGTTTCAAGTCGAATATTAAAACTGATATTTACAATATTATTAAAAATGGCATCCAATTTTTTTTTTTACGATAACTTGAAAATGTACTAATATATTGATTTTTCCAAGGTCTTAAAAAAAAAGAAAATTTTATTTTGAAATGTGACTATTTTTTGATTAATTCTCATAATTCATCCTCGATATTTCTGACGCCTATGGATGTCAATTTCGGGCACTTTTGGTGCGATATGACTGTCTAGTAAGGTATATATTACACCGCTCTGGTGTATTTTCTACAATTTCCAGTCTTCTATCTAATTCTGGATTAACTATGAGCCTCTATATCTGCTCTAGATCCCAAGATATTTTAAGTTTGGCGACAAAGAGCCAATATTCTTTAGAACACGGAATTAACATTATTTGCTTTAACACATCTTTTACTGATTATAGACGCGATGCACGACCTGTGCCTCTTGAACTTACATTCGTTTGTCCCGTGTGCCGATAGTTTCAAAATCGAGGAGTTATTTTGTCTTCGGATATTTTCTCTCTTTTATAAACATATTTTCTATATTTCATATTTTCTAACAATTTTATGTTTGATAGATCTATTTATGTACTTAATTAGATAAATTATTGATAGATGTAGCCTGATTTTAACCAACCATCAGAGCATTTTAGTTTATACATTTGAATAAATATTGTCTCACTTTGAATTTGATAATTACTAAATACATATACTAAGCAAATAAATTAACTTTTTTCAACTCAACAGGTTTTTAGACACAAGAAATATACATGTATTTACATTTATAAATGCCGATATAAAATAATTTTTTGCGGGAAATTTCATTCAAAATATTTTCATTATCAGATAATTTTTCATTTATAAATGCATTTTTCTCCATACACAGAAATGTGTAATTCATTTATCCATCGTGATACATGGATTTCATGAATGGACGACTGGACACAACAGGAAAGCACTAATTGGATCACTATAATGAATTGAGACTCGTTCAAGATTTCCGAATATATATGCAGATTTCCTTCTTAAGTCAAGAATACATAGGTTTGTTAACGGGATTGATCCCGGTTTAGCGGTCTACTTCCGCCGGCGCATATTGGACTAAGCTAATTCGCAACTAATTGGTGAACGTTTGTTTACTTCAATAGGATCCGAGGTGGACGTTATTGCTCCCTTTTTTTAACTTATGATTTTATTTTGTTGAGAGAGAAGAACAAAATATTATACATGTTGTTTGAAGAAAATAATGTTGATTTTAATTTTTAGGTAGAAATCAGCTGCAAAATATTTTTTTTTACAGAATAATATTGCAATAAATAAAAAAAAAACTATGTTTAGAATGCTGTAAATATTTTTTTTTCTTGTAAACCTTTACCTTTTGTTTTTGCAGTATTTTGCTTAAATTTTAATAAGATCTACATTTTTGTCTAAAAGAGTTTGAAGAAAAGTAGAATATAAATGGGAAACGCTAGAAAAGTGTAGCGTTAATTTCCAAATATAGAGAAAATTAGAAAAAAAACAACTTAAAAATAAATACCTTTTGAAAATGCATGATGACGATCTAACAGTGCATACTCTGGTCTCATATAAGGCATAGGGTACATGTGACTCATGAGAGCATTGGTGTACGAGACGTGAGAGGGAAGATAGGGGGACTGAGGAACCAGGGTGTGGTCGTACATAGACATCGGTTTGTATAGTGAAGGGGCAGTCAGTACCCCAGGGGCATGGAGGGCTGCGGGATTGATGGGCGTTGGTTTTGCAAGTCCACTGAGAGGATTGGAAGCACTTGATGTTGAGTTTGGTGATGTCCTCAAAATGTCATCAATACGGAATGATGATGATGGTCCCGTGGGTGAGGCATTGGTCTGTGAGTGAGCGGCAGTTGGTGGGGAAGCGGAGGGGTGCATGTGGGGACCGTACAGTGACGTCATGGCATTAACTAAGGCTGAATGCTGTGGAATCATGATGGAGTCACAACGATTCAAAATGGATTGTCTGTCGTCAACTATCATTCACAAAATTGTTTCTCTTTTAAAATGTTTTAAAACAATGATTTAATTATTAACACAAGATACCAGTGAGTGTTCCAACGACTCATCAAACAATATGTTTCTCCATACGGTCTTAAGTAAAATAGAACGAACAACAAGCAAGGCAAGAACTCCAGAAGAAACTTCCCAATAGTCCTGTAACGGTTGTCACATATCACAGCAGTCAATCAGACGAACAATCGCACAATACACCGTTATAACAATATTGTCCTGTTATACAGAAGTGATACTTTCACTCGTGGTGATGGGGGGCGGAGCTTCAGGTCTATCCATTGCCTGTATTAGAGGGAGGGGGCCTCTTAAAGTAACGTGCTTCCTTCTTTACATTGGTTCTCTCTAATCAGTATGTAAACAAAACAGTGCGGTTCAAGGGTCGATTCATAATGTTTGCCGTTTACATACACAACAAACTCGATAAATGGAATATAAAAGTTTGATTTAAATTGAGTAAATATGCAGATTAGGGACTTTGATGTACGAGGTGGTGTTTTTTCTGTCATTATTTTAAGGTGTACACACACCGACATAATTTTTAGTTTATTTATAAATTATCGGGGCGGGGAAACACTCCAGACTTTGGAGTAGGTAGCGGGGGCCTAGAGAGAAGTGACAAAGAAATTCAATGTTCAGGATGGGTCCAGAGGAAATCATGTACAAGACATACAATCGTTTCCATAAAAACTATTTATCGAAATGAGTCTGTAATACTTCATTAATTATGAACAAAGTCTGTATTATCCAATAATTTTGTAGTGAATTTCATTCCATTATACACGATCGCGATCAAGAGAGCAATTTGCAGTTATAATGTAAGATTCAGAGAGACGTCTGAAAACCACCGAATTTCCTCTGCATTTCATTAACATTAACATCTTTTTATTCTGTTGCCAACTGTAAAATACTCAGATCTAGTCAATAAAGAACTTCTGCAGTGCATCATTAAACAGTTTATAATGGAAACTACAGTATTCAGTTTAATGTTGATTTATAGTCACAAACATACAAATAAATATCAAATTTAAAAGCTAATTTAAATTTAACACATGTAAAATTAATAAAGAATTCATGATTTTTACTTGCTATTTTTACTACGTTTTTCTTTAAAATTAAATCGGACGCTGGACTTCTTTTAATGCTTTAAACCCTCCTTCCATACTTCAGCATATCTGTACAGGAACATATCCGTGTTCTGTATTTTTCAACTGAGATGAAAAACAACCAACAATTTTCTAAATTTCCAAGAAAAATTGTAATTTATTTTATTTTTATTTACAACACCGTGTAATCGACAGGAAATTGCAGCAATATTTGTTTTAAACAGTATATTCAGATTGACATCAACCAAAAGGTTACACTATAAAATGTGCTTCTCTCGAAAACACGGAAAAATGCCGTGGAACGAAACTAAAGTTGATTGTTGATAAAACATAAGTAAACACCTAGAGAAAAATGTATCTGCCCTCAAATATCATTGTGTCCTCACACAAATAAGAGATAAAAATCATCTTTTTTAACACAATCATTCTCTCGATCTGTAAATGCAAAAATAATGTTCATGAAAAGATTTAAAGCTGAAAAATCAACTTTCATCTCAATTATTCTTTTTAAAAAGTGTATTTCAAATCGAGATTTATACATTTTTATTGATATAGATAAATTAAATTTTGCTTTTTGCTTTTTTTTTAAAATAAATTCTTACCAAGGAATAAGATGTTTTTAAATGCTAGCGAATGATAGACCGTTGAAAACAGAAACTTTCTATAAAGAGAGTAAAACGAAACCTCCTCAGAAAGTCTAAACAAAAAAAAAAGCAGTAGCATATTTCTGTTTATTAATTTTTTCCCCGATAAATTTATCACTCTTGAAAATGAGCTCCATTAAAAGATGCACAAGTCACCAGCAGTTACGAAGAATTCTATTTTCATTTTCCTTCCTCACAAAATGCGGAAGAAAATATTTTACTTCGACAGGGTAATTTTTGATTCTACTTCTGAATGTTCAAAATAAAATAATCTTTAATGAAGCTCTGATTTATTTCCTAAATTTCGTGCTTGAGTTTGTTAATTTGAGCACACGCATTCGACTTCTAAATGTTCACTTTTAATATCAACAGGATTATAGATCTTTCGTTTTTGCATTTTTTTCTGCACATACATGTATAACATTTAGCTGTACTATTGGTACGAGAGAAATGCACGCGGTGGAAGTAAAAGGGGAAAATAGTCTATAAAAATGAGGGGATATTCTCATTCGGTTGAATGTTTTAATGAAGCTAATTTTTTCGCTGATAAAAATACAATATTAATGGGGTTTTTTCCTTTTCTTTAGAAAAAAAAAACGTCATTAACATTAACTTTTTTCATTATCAGTATAAAATCACAATAAAAGGGGTGTTTGTAAAAGGTTCATTCTCGACAATAACTTAAATTAATCTAAAGAAAGTGAGAAATAACTCGGTTATGAAGAATATTCCAAGATCAATTTTATATACTTCCTTATGGAAACATTTATGAGTTGTCAGTCTGTCTTCTGATTTTATATTACTTTCTTTGAATTCAATATATTTACTTAAATAGTATGAACAAATTATGTTCTATAATACAATACAGCACTTATGATTTATTGCCAATTATTTACATTTCCAAATACATTGTATTTCTTTGCAAATTAGAAAAAAAGTTCATGTTCTCATGAACTACCGTGGGATGAGTAAGAATATTTCCATTGTAATGTGATTGAAGTCAAAAAATAGTGCAATTTTTTTTTTTCAAAAATGATTGTTGAATGACAAAAATATGTGGCAAGTCATCAGAAAAAAATGTAAATATAAGATATGAATTTAATTTTTGAGAATTCATGAGGTACATGAACTACAACGCTTCACGCCTGCATATTTATCATGAATCGCTAGTTAACGCGCTTCATGAAATATGCAGGCGTGAAGCGTCGTAGTTCATGTCCTCATGAATTTTCAAAAATTAAATTCATCTCTGAAATAATGGCCTCTTGGGGCATAATACAAAACATATATGTATTATAATTTCGCACAACGGTTTAACTACAACTAAAGGTACTAATGGACAATGCATAATATTCATTAACAATATAAGTTTATCCAACTGTTGTAGTATTCTCTCTTTACTTCTATATAATCAAGAATGGAAGTTGGAACTTAACATACACTGAAAAAAAAAAACAAAAATTGTTGTGTTTAGAAATTGTAGGAATGTAAAGATATCTGACACATTTTTGTATGATGGTAAAGAACTGGAAAATTATTGATGAATTTAATTATCTAGGTATGTTGTTCAATTACAGTGGGAAAAAAGGCATGTTGCTGATCAATGTCGGAAAGCATTTTTTGCATTTAACTTAAGAATGAATAATTACTGCCCGAATATTGTTAAAACTAAATGTGCAGTTTTTTGTAAAATGTAAAAAGTGTTTTGTCATATGGAGCTGAAATATGGGGTTTTCACAAGGCCAAAGATGTTGCAAAAATACATACCAACTTTTGTAAAAAGTCCTAGGTGTGAAATTATGTACCCCAAACAACATGGTCTGTTATGAATTAGGTAGATTGCCTCTGCACCTTTCAAGGAAACTTTAAATCTTGAAATATTGGCATAAACTTAAAAGATACAAATAACTGTATATCAAGGGTATGTTATGAAGAAGGAATAAGGAATAATGACAAATGGTTTTCTGAAATTAAGAATTAATGAATTTGATAAACTTGGTTTAAGTTATCTTTTGTTCCAAACCTCTGATACTCCCAGGGAATGGGTCATAGTTAAGCAAAGATTTTTTGGTGTGGATAACCATGAACTTATTACAGTATTCAGTCATCCACTAATGGAAAGTTGTTAAAATATATTGTGGACCATTTTTGTTTACAGTATTATTTATCGAAACCTATTAATCATGCATAAAAAAAATTACATGCTTTACTTAAGACTCTCTAGTCATAAATTACAGGTTGAAGAAGGTAGATATGTTAATGAAAATAAAAACAAGATGTGTTTGTGAAACACTGATGCCCTCGTATGGCAGCTCATGGCGAAGGTTAAAGTTTCTAAATGCAAGCCAAGCTCCAGGTCAAGAAATCAAAAATGTTGGTACCCAAAGAAAGGTCTGGTCTCGAGGAATATACCTGTGAAATATGAAAGCCCTAGTACAAACCGTTGAAAAGTCATGGTGAAGGTTAAAGTTTTTTAAAGTAAGTAAAACGGCAGGGTCAAGGTCAAATGGTGCCCAAGGGAAGTTCTTGTCACAAGTTTTACACATGATCGTGAAATGTGAAAGCCCTAGAACCTAACGTTCAAATGTTATGGCCAACGTAAAAAAAATTAAAGTAGGTCAAACTCCAAGGTCAAGGTCAATGCCAAAATTGTTGGGATCCAAAGGAAGGTCATGTCACAAGGAATATACATGTGAAGTATGAAAGCCCTAACACCGACTGTTCAAAAGTTATGGCCAAGGTTAAAGTTTTTCAAAATTAGGTCAAACTTCAAGGTCAAGGTCAAAGGGTCAGAGTTGGTTGGTATTTAAAGGAAGGTCTTATCACAAGAATTCCATATGTGAAGTATGAAAACCCTAGCACTAACTGTTCAAAAGTTATGGCTAAGGTTAATTTTTTTCAAAATTGAAGTAGGTCTAACTTCAAAGTAAAAAGTTCAATGCTATTGATATGCAAAAAAAGGTCTTATCACCAGGAGTACACATGCGAAGTATGAAAGACCTAGCTAAACTGTTCAAAAGTTATAACCAAGGTTAAAGTTTTTTCAACAGTAGGTCAAACTCCAAGGTCAAGGTCAAAGTGTCAAAGATGTTGGTATACAAAGGAAGGCCTTTTCACAAACAATACACTTGTGAAGTTTGAAAGCCCAAACTTCAAGTGTTCAAAAGTTATGGGCAAGGTTAAAGTCTCATAAAATTTTGCAAAAGTGGGTCAAACTCCAAGGTCAAAAGGTCAAATAAGGTGGTACCCAAAGAAAGGTCTTGTCACAA